GGCTGCGGCCTTCTCCTCTTGCGTCTCCAGTTTTTGGGACACTTGTTTCTCCCGCATTTCCAGTTTTTGCCTCCTTCTCTTCAGTTCCTGCACTTGCTCAGCTAAAAGGTTGAGGAAATAGTCTTCCTCCGTCGAATCGCGGCTGTACCGCTGGCTCAGCGCCTTCCACCCTTGCGCCCTGTCGTCTCCTTCTGGAAGGAGCTGGCTGATCTCCTGCACTTGGTCCCACACTCTCTCTGTCATCGCTTTGCACCCGTCGGAGAGGGCCTCGCATTCTTTCTCCTTCTGGGACAGCTGCAGTTCCAGTTGGATGACCTTCATCTTCTCTTCTCGATATCTGATTCTCCATTCTTTCAACTCTGAGCCTTCCTCTTCCTCCTCCTCCTCCCCGTCGCTGGGGTCTCTTCTCTCGCTCTGGAGGGTCAGGCTACTCCCATTGGTCTCTCTTTCACTCTCAGATGGAACCTGGAAACACAAGACGACCCCAGAACTTTATGACCATAAACCAGTGCAACCTCTCCCATCGTTCCCAGTATGCATCTGCAACACACTTGGAGAACAACAGGTCAGGAAAGGCGGTTCTAAAAGGACCACATCTCATTAGTGCTAAAAGAAAACTGGGTGAAAACTTAAGAGTTTGGTAGGGAGTTGTGACTCCAGTTTCAGGGGTACAGCGAATCCACTCCATGTTTTTTATCCTGTGCTCCATAGGACTTAAGCAGGGATTCAGCACCGTGGCTAGCTCCTGTAAAGGGTAGTCCAAACATGAAGAGAGTATTTCTAGCACTCCCAGCAGTTCCCAGCTACCACTGGTTTGGAAGGGAACAAGAGAAAAGCTTGTCTTGAGTTTTAAAAAAAATCGCTTAAAGAATAATTTCCTGGCTTAAAATTCAGCGTCTTGTTTCCAGTTAAAGCAGTTTCTGCAACCACAACACTGAATCATGTACTCTATCTCCTGCACGTTCCCAAAAGCACAGGGTTAAATGTGTGGATCAATCACATCAGCCTCTCAAGTTCTGGTGGAACATCATCTCATAACTGAGGGTTGCAGGAGAAAGAATATAGGAAGATCAGAGATTGGGTCATTTCCTGCTTATCAGAGGCTATATGAGGAGGACCCAGAAAGCAAAGGTACTTAAATGGAATAAGCCCATGATTTAACATGCTGTAGCTATGTACAGTAGGACTCCCATATCCACAGGATCAGTGTATCCACCAATTCAGTGATCCATGGTCTGAAAATATTAAAAGAAAAGCCATATATTTCTAAAGGTGAAATTATCAGAACTGGCCAATCGAGGGAGAGACCATGCTATATATAGTTTTCATTATTAAGATAGTGCTTGCAGTAATCCGCAGTTTTCAGTATCCGCTGGGGGGGGGGCTTTGACAGTGTGTTTCCAGAGGGATGGAGTTCCTCACTGTATTTGTTCTTTGTAGCCAAATTCATAACTCATGGTAGTATTAAACATTTTTTTCAACAGTCAAAATTGATTTTAAAGTATTAACCACCTCTTTTTACCTGCGAGCTAGCTTCAGAGGAAGGATCCTGCCCTTGTCCTGTGGAAACAAAAAAGGCAAGGTGTGAACTCAAGTTTTCAAGGGTCAGAACTTTAGTTCCCCCCCCCACTAAGTCACTGTTGCCCGTGCAGGAAATTATGGGAGTTGTAGTTTCTGCCCAGTGTGGAAAAACATCAAGACTGACCCTAACGCTGCTTTGAATGTTTTCTGCCCACGTTTCCACGTTAGGTCATCTGGCTTTGCTTGCTACATGATACCAATCGTCCACACCAATAAATGCATGAAAATATAATCTCCATTATATGTTTATGAACTTGGTAGAGCAAGGGGATAAATCCTGGCTTTTGGACCATATCAGACCGCTGCAGGGAACCGCCAGCTCCTGTGCGAATTGCAATATTTACTCTTAAATATAAATTTAAGGGAGGCAGTGGAAGATAGGAGGGCCTGGCGTGCTCTGGTCCATGGGGTCATGAAGAGTTGGGCACGACTAAACGACGACGATAAATTATTTTAGCTATTCTCCATAAACAGTTGTATGTATAATAGTGACAAAGTACTACATTTTTGAGTCTTTGAATTGTAACGGGAAATCACGGTGAGGATCCTGCCTGCGGGGTGTGTGTGTGTGTGTGGCTTCCCAGTCCTGGACCCCCATTCAAGTTTAATAAACCAGTTGACTTGGAGTTCGAAACCGACTGGTTCCTCCAACAAAGTTAAAACAGGTTGCATCGTCTTTCCTTTCCAGTTTGGTCACCAAGACGTGGTCTCTTGGGGTCAAACGTCCTTTCTTTACATCATCGACATCACTCTCGGGGGGGGGTGTCTCGACTTTATTTGCAACTGGGAAGAGCAGAGCAGCCCCATAAAGTGAGCCAGCCCCGTCTCTCTGGCTCCCGAATGTTCTTGCCCAAAGGGCCGCTGAGGGTTTTTGAAGGGAACCGTCCCAAAACTGCTTCCCGGGGAAGTTCGGCAGGTGTGATCCTCCCTCCCAAAACCCTTTCTTTCCATCTTCTCTCTCTCTCTCTCTCTCTCTCCAGTTTCTCCCTAACAAAGGGCTTTCCACACCTTCTGCAGTCCTTTTTCCGCCACCTCTCTGGGAACGCTCACCAGGACCCCAGTCTCTAGTCTTTTATGATTTCCACCCAGTCGTCCTCTTTCCCCCTTCATTTGCCCAGCACTCCTCAGCGTCTGTCCTAATGGATCCCCCCTTTTGCACCCTTTCCCCCCTGCACAATCTTTTCCAATAGCTTTTCCTCTCCCCAAACATTCCAGAATTCCTTTATTCCAACCCTGCCCTCCCGTCTGCCGGTCTTCAGCCGACCCTTCTGGTTTCGGGGTTGGGAGGGACGGCGCCCCGATGGGTTCTCTCCGTTTCTCACACCCATTCCGGTCTAAAAGTCACTTTCCCAGTCTCTTTAAAGTGCAAAAAACACACCTGAGGATCGGCCTGATTTCCCCCATGTAGGCAGCTTCAGAAATTCAGCATCTATTGCTCAGCGCATGCATCCTTAAATAATCATCAGCTGGCGTTGCTGGGTCTACATCTCCCATTATTATATGAGAGCCAGTGTCATCTAACTTTGGACTCAGGAGCTGTGGGTTCATAATTCCCACGCAGGCATGCAAACGCACAGCTGGACCACGATATCCGCAGGGGATTGGTTCCAAGTTCGCTCCCGGTGAACGCCAAATAAGGTGGCCAGTTCTGGTCAATACATTGTAGGTATTTCTGATTTTAATTTTAATTTAGGTGAATAAATTTAAAAAAAAACAGTGCATCAGTGAATCAGTGGATAGTGATCCCGTGGATGAGAAGGTCCCACTGTAGTAACCTAATTACTACAAAAACGACTACCTACTAGTTTCGAATTTGGGCCCCCGCGTTCTTTTTCCGCTTAAGGAGGCAAATTGTAACGAACGGACGACAGCCGTCTAAATATTTCCCATCCACCAGGAAAGGATTATTGGTTCCTCCCAACCGTGTTGGGCACAGATTGGCACGGTTTAGGCCAGAGAGGGTGAACTAAATGTTTCAGACCCCCCTCGAACTCCCAGAATCCCCGTGCTCAATTTCCAGTGGCCAAGGACCATGGGCTTTGTCATCCCTGGATGAGACTCTTTAGAAGCTGCCTGGGAATTCCCGGTTCCCATCACCTCGTTTCTTCTGTTTCCTCAGGGCGTTTCGGACGAGCCGCCTCAGGGCCCGATCCTTGGCCCGCTTGGCGTAGTGGAGGGCGTCGCGGCCCGCCCTGTCCACCCGCGCCACATCCGCGCCGCTCTGCAGAAGCAGCTCCACCGACTCTGTGCTCCCACTTTCACAAGCGATCATCAGTGCCGTCCTGGGTTGGGGCAGACAAGGGGACAAGACAGCGGGTGAGTCGCAGGATCCGGGCCCGACGGCACAGCGTATTCCTCGGCAGACGATGAGAAAAGCCCCAGAGAGTGAAATCAAGGGCGGGTCTAGTCCACCATCTGGCCAGCACTTGACGGATCTCTTTAGAAGCCTACCAAGCCTCTAGATTTTAGAGATGTAGACTGCCACTGAGCCTGGAGGTTCTCCTTAGTTATCATGGCTGGTTGGCCCTTGATCGTTAACCCCACCACCACCACAAATCTGTAACATTCTCCTTATAAAGCCATCTAAGATAAGGGTCATCCACCCATCTTGTGGCAGTGAGTTCCATAAGCTCAGTAAAAAAAAGCAACACAGCTGTGTCCCAAATCTATTGCCTATCCATTTGACTAGGTGACAACTCTCTCTAAGTTCTGATCTTCGATCCCAGCTCCCTTCCGAGGCTGGCCGGGAAATGGACTCACTTTCCGTCTCTGTCCGTGAGGTCAACCGTGGCCCCCCTCTGGAGCAGCTGGGAGCAAACAGCAGGTTGTTTCACCTGAGCGGCGACCATCAAAGGCGTCCGTCCGTTCTGGGGCAAAAGATAGAAGTAATTAGTTACTCCCCAAGGATTACATGATTTCAGCGAGTTACCACGAGTTACAACTGTAAATCTACATTCAGGTACTTTAAGAGTTGCAAACTATTGTCTTCCTTATAAAAATAACAGAACAGATACTTTTAGTAATGAAAAGGAACTTAATAGTTACTTTAGTAACTCGCATTGTAACTAAAATAGTTACAGACACGTAGCAAAAGGAGCAAAGAGATCCCTCATTACATCACGACCCTAACAGAGCCAAGCGATTCCAAAAATTAATAACTGCAGAGGAATAATGAGTTTTTTTTCCCAAAGCACTTAATTATATAAGCAACATTATTCAGAGTTAGTTACTTTGGAGCCTTACGTTATCCGTGACGTCCAAGGAAGCCTCTTGATCACACAAAAGCAACACGCTGGACGCGCATCCAGACAAGGCTGTGGGTGGCAGGAAAAAAAACGAGGGTCTGTCTCAAACGCGAGCACTTAAGATACAGATTTACGAAACATCTTCCCCTCCAACCAGCTGGCCTTCCCCATATTTAATAAATAGGGCATTTTCTGGCTTCTTTGTTTTCCATTTTGTTCAAAGCAGGAGGAGAAACCGGTCGGCTGAGCTTTTATCAAAACCATTTCTTATTCTCTTACCTCCTCGCCCAAGGCTAATTTCGAAAAGAAACAAGGGCAGAGTGGTGCGGTATCTCCAGAAGAATAAGCCTCTCCAGGGGATCCTCAGGGTGGTGTAGTGGGTAGAGTGACAGATTAGGACTCAGGAGGCCTGGTTTCGAATCCTTGCTCAGCTATGGAAGCTCACAGGGGTGGGTGGGGGGTCAATTTCAGGCTTGAACTGTAAGAGTTCTGGCTTCTTTGTTTTCCGTTTTGTTCAAAGCAGGAGGAGAAACCGATCGGCTGAGCTTTTAACAAAACCGTTTCTTATTCTCTTACCTCCTCGCCCAAGGAGTTTGCTCCAAATTCAAATCCTACTCCTGGCGATGGGCATTAAATATTGCCAGGGGCAGGGCAATGAAGCAGGGCTGTATTGAGTGGTTCTAATCTTCCTTTTTTTTTCCGGGTGAAGAAACGGACCTTCTGCTCCATCGGAAACGGAGCAAAAGGCATCTGCCTTACACACCATCGTCCGGAAGGACCGCCGGACAGGTACGCCTTTTTTGGGAACTTACCTGCCCAGTGCAGAGGCGTCCAATTCCCTCCATCCAGGCAGTCCTCGTTCGCTCCGTGCTGCAAGGGAACCGTTGTAAAGAGATTCACGTGCATTGCTAACTGTGGGTTTTGATCCTTTTAAATATTTGTCTCCTTCACGTTCATCGCTTCAAACATTGCCTTTTAATGATGTCAACGGCCTTGAATCCTTTTTAGGAGAAAGGCGGCAGGGCAAAAATATTTTAAATTTCTACCTACCTACCTACTTGTACGTACATGCATACCGACCGAAGCACTATCCTGACATCATATTATTACAACCCCTGAGAAAATGCTCTTTCTTCTGCCATACCTCTTGTTCTGCTAGCATCTCGCTTCTAGGAATGATTCGAGATTTCTCTGTCCGCCCCCCCCCCCCCCGGCCTGGATGGACAATTGTCAAAATCTTAATTAATCATTCTGTGCCAGTTCTGGCTTAGGGTGGCCCTGCCAGAATTTTCTAGGCATGCTCAAGAGTGGGGCACGAAAACTTCTGCATCTATCTATCTATCTATCTATCTATCTATCTATCTATCTATCTATCTATCTATCTATCTATCTATCTATCTATCTATCTATCTATCTATCTATCTATCTATCTATCTATCTATCTATCTGGTCTTGCAACCACTCTAGCTGTGCGCACAAGTGGAGAGTGCGGTGCGCAGTCACACCAAACAGAATGTTGGCCTCTGTTTTCCACCAACGGAACATTTTCGGAGTAGATTCTCCTGTTCAAAAGCCACACGCCTAGCACTCGGCTAGCATAAACCGCAAGGCCACTATCCCATAGGTAGGTCATCATGCTATTCTCCCTCATGGGACTGGTTAGGCAAACAGTGTATGACTGGTCGCACGAAGTTCTCCCTGCTCAAAGGGGAGTCAATTGCCTTGACTTCTGAGGTGCCTCGCACTCAAGTCCTACACATAAATCACCCCATGAAGCAAGCTGATTTGCAAATTAGATAAAGCGAAACATCGCTCCTACTATGCAACCAGAGGCTTTCAGCAGTCATGGAATTCTCTCTTCTAGTGACAGGTCATCTATAATGTCTGTTTCCGCCTTCAGGCAAATGAGGTCAAATTGAAGAAACAAGCTGCTTAGAAGGACTCCCTGATCTGGTCTGGATGTGCCTTGTGCTTGCTTCCCTTCCACCTTTTGCCTGGCTTACTTCTGTGACATCATCCTAAGGCCCCGGTCCTCCAGCCTCTAGGTCTGGGCTTTGCCACGGGAGATAATGAAATCCTGCTGACCTGGCAGTTCTTTTGAAAGCACGCCTTCGCCCTTCTCCATATTAATTCCCCGCTCCGGATTTCACCCTACGCCCAGCCCTTCATTTTCCCAGTGATATTGAAACTGCCTTCCAGGGATGACTTGCGAGGTCGGAGGAGCAGGGGAGGATGATTCAACCCCAGAAGTTGTCTCGGGTTGGGTGGCGCCGGCAAACGAGGTGAAAGGCAATCAGGAACGCAGGCCAGGTTCCCTCCTTGTTGTCGTTTATCCCTCCTTGATCCTTTCCTTTCTCTCTCTCTCTCAGCCGTGGCGCCGGATCGCTTACCGCCCTGTCGCTTCCCTCCGGTTTTACTATCTTTTTATTTGGCCCTCTGTCGGATTCTAACTTCTTTCACGTTGCTGCTCTAATTAATACTCCGCCTTGCCTAAGGTTTCTGCTTTAATTGAGAGGAGAAGCTGTTACACAAGATGCCGATGTAGGGTTTGTTGAGAAGGAACGTTGGTTCCCCTAATGGGTACCCAATATTGCATCGATTATATCCGTGTTTTCCCTGCCCTCCGGATGACGTAAGGCCAATGGTGAGAAAAAAAAGAACAGCCACAGAAACCTGTCTTTCCAAAACGTGATCATGTTTCGAGATCCCTAATATTAGCCGGGTTGCTGCTGTTTCCCTTTGCTGCAGCTTCCGAACCGCCTACAAGGGTAGCCCCACGGGAAGAGCATTGTAGTAGTCAATGTTCCAGACTACCAGTGTTATCAGGGATTTTTTAAAAGCTGGTCAGCCTGGATGGAAAGGAAGAGGCTGATTTACCTGCAAAAGGACCTTCACGCACTGGGGCTGGCAAGAGATGGTCGCCAAATGGAGAGCCGTGCTACCTAGAGAGAAAATAGGAAATAGGTATCGCGAGGCAAAACAGAGAAGGAGAGACGGGGGGGGGAGGAGAGAGAGAGAAAGAGAGAGGCCTTTTCGCAACCCGTAGAAGAGAAATTGGATCACCGCCATCATATACGTGAAGGGCTTCCACCTAGACGATAGAGCAAACTGGATTTCTGAAACGCAACAGTCTAGGACCCCCAGAGTACTGGATTCAAATTATGAGAAAGGAGATTGTGCCTCGTCATTAGCAAGAGTTGATCGGAAGAGCTGTTCAACAGCAGAAAGTGGCAGATTCTCCTCCTCCAGCGTTTTTTTTAACCTGGCAAGGGGTCGGACTAGATGACCTTCTGGTGTCCCTCCCAGTTCCCTAGTCCTGTGATTCTTCTGGGGCTGACTTGTACGCTTGGTATCGCTGCACCGAAGCTGAGCTGGAAGCACGCTAGACTCTAGCGCCTTGAAATCTCAAAGAACTAAAGGCGTTTAATTGGGAGTGTTAACAGGTGGGTGCAGAATTCACCCTTGGGGGGGCGGGTTTAAAATTTGAATTTAGGGAAGGAGGCTGTGTTTCGTTTCTTGGGTTGGTGTGCTAAAGTCCGTAACTTCTAATTAGTGTGTGAATGTCTTCCTACCTCTTTCATTTCCCTGGAGTTTGCAGCTTCCATTTCTGCCTGGCCATCCTTTCTGGGGGGGTGGCGCTGCTTTGGCCCCCTTTGTGGCACCCACCCACAACTTTTCCCATCCTTTCGGCATGTGCCGTGTCTTTCGCTTTCCTCCCACTTGCTTATCCAGAGACTGCCAGAATATTAGAATATTTGGGGAGGAGACATCGCAGCGACTCGGCCCATAGTTTGGGGGGGCAGGCAGATGTCGGCCGGCAAGTTGTTGAGCAAGTTCCATGGGTTTGAATGGGCCTACTCTAGCAGCAACCTCCTATTCTAAGCAACAGAATTTCAGTGATTAACTCCATTAATGAAGAGCCGTTAGATTTACAAAAGATCCGCTCCAGATTGATTGAAATGGGCCGACCCAGCTTCCTGTATTTTGGAGCTCCCCACCACCACCTGGAGAGGGCTAAGGAGATGGTTACCCCCTTGATTTTGAAATTTATTGGCAAGTTTAGGGAGGGGATATCTTCCCAGCTGATAATCCAGGACATAAATCAAGGCACGTCTTGCAGCAAATGATCTCCTCCTTCCCCAGCACCCTGCGCACACCCACCGTCATCGTTCTTGGCATTGGCGTCCGCTCCGTGGTTTAGGAGAACGGTGAGGCACTCCGTCAGTCCCTTGGAAGCTGCCAAGTGGAAGCTGTGAGAAAGAGAGGAAAAAACAGGATTTTTGATCTGCACGGAGTTATGCTTCACCCCCACCCTTTCTGGGACATCTGACACCCCCCCAACCACTTCCAGCTTTACACGGGCACAGAAATGATTGCCAGTGATGGAATCTCCTTCAAGTACGGGCGATCAAAAATGGTAGGATTCATGGCTTCAAGCAAGTGGGACTGTGGGTGGCTTTTAAGGGTTCATGGGCTGTGATCCCTAGTGAGGAAAGCAGCCACCTTTGAGGCTGTTGACCCCCTGTTGCTACCTGTTGAGCACGAACAAGGCTCACCCTTCCTTCCTTCCTTCCTTCCTTCCTTCCTTCCTAGCAGATGTCATTGTTTTCAGGTGGAGTGGAAAGGCGATCCTCTATCTATCTTGTTATCTCTTTCAACCAAAGTTGTTCAGCCCCCGGGCATAAAACCGCATGCTTGGTGAATATTCTCATCCATCCATCCATTTCTACACTGCCCATCTGACCGATATTCACTCCGGGCAGCCCACAACAAGGGAGAATAATAGAAAAATAACGTAAACATAATTGAAGGTGAAGTTCACATTAAATTGGCATTGCCTTTAGAAACAAGCAGGAATTAAACCGAACGGGTTGAGGGTGGGTATTCGGATGGTGTGTAACAACGGGTAAAGAAACCACCCCCTTTCACAAACCAGACCAGCCCGGGGGGGGCGGGGGGCGGGAATATAAACCGAACGGGTTGAGGATGGGTATTCGGATGGTGTGTAACAACGTAAAGAAACTGCCCCCTTTCACAAACCAGACCAGCCCGGGGGGGGCGGGGGGCGGGAATAAACATCTAGAGAAAATAATCGTAAAGCACTCGCAGTCGTAAAAACAAAGCAAATCTTTAGCAGAAGGTTTGCAACGGAGGATACAAGGAGGATCCCCAGCCCATGGGTGGCTATTGTGAATCTCAACAATTTGGCTGGAAGCGTTAGAGGGACTGGCTGGTGTTCCATCATCTGGTGTCCCTGTCCGGCTATTTTCTCCCGTCTGTCCACGGAGGGAAATATCTTGCCTGTGCAGATGCTGATGATCACTCCCAGATGTTCAATGAGTTGAGAAGGAATAGGCTGACTAATTTTTAGATTGACTAGGAAACTGCGGCCCTGTGGAGCCTTCATCGTCTGTTGAACATCTCCGATTCCCTGTGCCATAGAGCAGTGGTCTCCAACCTTGGGTCTCCAGATGTTCTTGTACTACAACTCCCAGAAGCCTTCACCACCACCTCTGCTGGCCAGGATTTCTGGGAGCTGAAGTCCAAGAACATCTGGAGGCCCAAGGTTGGAGACCACTGCCATAGAGGGTGCCCTGATTAAAATATCATCTAGGCACAGAAACAGGCGCAGTTGTTCTTTCCTGCGGAGTTTCACCCGTGCTCCCCTTGGCTTGGTGAAGACGGTGGATGGAGACGATAGGCCAAAAGGCAGGACGTCGAATTAGAAAAGTCTTCCGTGGAATAGAATGGTAGAAATTGGTGGCAGAAAGGATGGATAAGTATGCAGATATAGGTTTCTGTGATATGCAGAGACACTGGACATTCATTTGCATATGCACCCTCCTTATTTATTTAGATTTATACTCCACCCATTTATTGTGCATGCCACTACTCTATGCTTTCATGTCCCTGCGCAACCTCTTTACATCTAAAATGGCTCTCCATTCATTTGGGGTGTGTTTGAGAACAATAAATAAATCTAGAGTAGCACACGCAGCAGCTTTGCGATTGTACCTCACTGATGTCTCCAGTTCCCATCAGATGACTGATGGCCTGGAGGACCAAGTAGGAACATGATTAGGTGGATCTTATTCCCCTGTAAGGCTGCTTTGATTTTTTTCCAGGCTTCAGTTCATCTAACCGGTTAGGACATGAAAGTGTTATCTCTTTATCAGCAATTTATTAACTTGTTACTGTAGTTCAGCACTTAATAATAATAATAATGTCATCATCGCCTTAGAACTGCAGAGTTAGAAGGGCCCCTGGGGATCATCCAGTCCACCCCCTATCAAGGAGGCCCTGGGGAGAATCAAACTCCCAATTTCTGGCTCTGCAGCCAGAGACCTAGATCCTAGCTCTGGAGAGATACTCCATTGTGGAGCACCACAATCGACAAGGTGATCCTAGAAGCAAGATGGATAACGGGATCAGAAGGAAAAACTTACGTACGCGGTTTGCCCGAGAGCGTTGGGTTTTGTCGGTCTGGCCGTCTTCTTGGACATGAGAAGGGACACCTTTCCGACATCTCCTTTCTCAACGGCATCCAAAAGCTTCTGGTCCTGCTTGTTCCAGGTCTCGACCTGGTCAATAAAAGAGGAAGAGAGGGGGGGGTTATTTAGTGGCGGATACGGCGCCGTTCGGTGATACCCAGGACAGATTTTTTTAAATGGACTTTAACGAGAGGGAATTCTCCATCCGGACGATCCCTCCATACCTCCGAATCCCACTGTGTCAGTAATTCTATTATTTATTTATTTATTTATTCATTCATACATTCATTCATTCATTTACAGTGGTGCCTCGCTAGACAGTTACCCTACATGACAGTTTTTTCGCTAGACATTGGCTTTTTGCGATCGCTATAGCGATTCTCAAAACAGTGATTCCTATGGGGGAATTTCGCTGGACAATGTTTGGTCCCTGCTTCGCAAACCAATTTTCGCTAGACAACGATTTTTGACAGCTCCCTCTGCACTCGTAAACAGGTGTTTTCAGGACCTAAGCTTCGCAAGACAGCGATTTAAACAGCTGATCGGCAGTTCGCAAAGCGGCTTTCCTATGGCCGATCTTCGCTAGACAACGACGATTCTTCCCCATTGGAACGCATTAAACAGGTTTCAATGCATTCCAATGGGGAAATGCTTTTTGCTAGAAGATGATTTCGCTAAACAGCAATTTCAGTGGAACGGATTATCATCATCTAGCAAGGCACCACTGTATTTATTTAAATTTGTATATTTTTCCCCCTAACAAAAATAAAGCCCCGTTTCGATAACAAATGAGGAGATAATGGTGCATGCCCATTGAGAGTGAAGGCATAAAAGCATTGCCTTTCCTCTGAATTAGCTTGATAGAGTGATCCCCAAATCTGACGGGCAGTATGGCAGTGCTGTTATCATCCTGACTCTTGCTAAGCAGACTCTTATTGGCCTCTTTATTTATCTGTAAAGGACCTTCAAAGATCCAAATCAGCAGAAAGGGGGAAAAAAAGGTAAAGAACTTTAGGGGAAAGGTTTAGAAGCCATGCCCAGCTCCTTACAGCCGAATTCTTAGCCCGCAAAAATAACCTCGCCCACCACGACGCTGGCTTGGCCCAACCGGAGGAATGCGCTCTGCCAATTTTCTTCATTTGAAATAATGACCCACTCGTTTTTAGCTCCTCCGTTTTCTTCTCTCCAGAGGGCAAAGCCATCCCAGCCCGTCAGGGAGGACTCGGGGAGGGAGAGCCGTTGAAGAAAATCCAGTTCCAAAGGCTTGATTCCTGACACAGCAACACACCCTGAGCTGATGGAGCGAGGAGATATTTCACAAGGGCCACACACCACTTAAACTTTGCCCTGGGAAAAGACACTCCTGTTTTCAGGTCGGACGGGCAAGGGCTCATTCGGTTTCCAAAGCAATGAGGGAGAAAAGCTATTAACGCTACGTTCTCTACTTCAAGAGACACCCCCCCCTCCTGTGTTTTGCCAGAGGGTGCGGTTTCTGGATGATGGAGAAAAAGTACTCTGTATAGGCTCAGGGGCCCAGTCTACGTCCCAAAACCAAACTCTGACGCCAGACGCTGGCAGAAGGCCTCAGGGCTCCCATCGCCTCTCAATAAATCTCCAGGTTTTCTCTAAGAAAGCTTTGGGAATCTTTCCCGCTGCAAGGCCAGGTACAAAACCTGAACCCGAATTCTTTCCCAGAAAAGCCAAACCCCGTGATCTGCTCACAAATGCCAATTATTTCACAGGCAGCGATTCTGAAATCCCATTTCCCCCCCCCTCCTTTTCGTAGGGTGCCCCCTATGCCAAAAGGGGCCCCGGGAGGCACTACCCATCCGTGCATTTTTGGGTAGCCTTGAGGACTAGCAGCGTGGTGGTTGTGCTAGAGATGAATACATTCTGGCCACAATCGTGGTGTTAAGTGACACCGATGTCCGTGCAAGGACAGAAATTTCCATTATGGATGGCCACCAGTGGACGGGTTATCGCTTGTGCATCACTCATAATGCGCCAGTTGCGTAAACTGGTGCTCAATACGGCAACTCGTTAACCGGTGGCACAATCCATTGCTGGAATTAACAGCATTGCTCTTGCGCAAGGAACCACTAAGTTTTATGCATCTATCTCTTGATCAATCAACTCATCCTATGAACTAATGAACATACAAACTAAGTTGGCTGGATAGCGCCGTGAGTTTTGCATCTGGCTGCAGAGCCAGCCGTTGGCGGTTCAGTTCCCTATAAGGCGCCTTTTGGAAGAGAAGAGCCAGCCTGGGTGGCCTTGGACCAGCAGCACCATCGTCCCAGGGCGCCCCCGGAAGAAAGCACAGGGAAACCACTGCAGAGTATGGTCCGCCTGGAAAAACCTGGAAAAGGTTCTCATCCATCAGAATCGAGTTGTCAGCATACGATTATTATTTATCTTTCTGTCTCTGCAAGCGCAATGCATCTGATCCACATCCCACTTCTTCCTTGAACAAGAGGATTCAGCGAAACTCGTGCAAGATCAAAACACTCGTGATCGGTAAAATACAATCGTTTTTAAAGGAGAAGAAAGAAAAGACTTAAAAACAACAACAAAAGGCCTTTGGGATGATCCTCCGGATGTCTTTTCACATCTCATGGACGACCCCCCTTTTGGTTAACTTGGCATTTCTCAGCCCCCCCCCCCCCAGGGAGGCAACGATGGAATGCAGCTAAGCATTTGGCACCTACCGCCACTTGATTGCTGGAACAAGAGAACATTTTCTTCATGGCTGCGCCGGCCTTCTCTCCTGCCCTGGGGCTCCCCAAAGTGCCGCCTCCTGGCATGGCTCACGTTTCCGAGGAAAAATGTGCAAATCGTTGTGCGGTCACCATCACCCCCCCCGGCACTGTTGGTTGTGGGGGTTTTTCCCCCTCTCAAGAAGGGAGGTTCTTTACTTTGAGAAGCCCAACCTGGGCAAGGAGAAGACCGGCCGGGAGAGACATGGCTGCAGAGAAACTCCTGCCATCCCCAAACAAGTCAGGCACCGTCCAGAGAGCTTCGGGAGAAATGAAGCAGGCAGCTGGGCCGGATCCGCCCCTCCAGCGCCTCTTGCACACCTGCTTCCCGGGCCCCGAGTCTGGACTTGCCCGAGACGCTCGCTGCTGATGTTGCTCCTCTTCTGACTTTAAAAGGAGGCAAGAGGTTGCTGAGACGCCCTCCTGCCTCAAACTTAAAGGCTCTCCTTTTTCACACGTTACGTCACGAAACGCCTGCTCTGGAGTAGCCGTCCTCCTCCGGACACGAGGAGCCACTCCAAATTCTCCATCTCCTCGGCGGCACGCGGAAAGATTCATTTTTAGGACAGCAAACCGTGTCACCGCTTCTCCCAAAAGCTGCTTTTCGTACGCTCAAGAAATGAAAAGGGGCCAGTTCGTCACATTTTTTTTCCCCAGAGAATTTCCTGACATCTTTTCTTGGACGGTATTCTCTGGAAAAGACCGCCAGGCTGGGAAAGGTGGGCAGCAGAAGGAAAAGAGGAAGGCCCACTGTGAGATGGACAAAGTCCCTAAAGGAAACCACAAGTCCTGCATTATGTCTTTATACTATTTCCACTAATTTTGACCGTTGTAGCCAAACTGAGGGCCCAGTTCCACTGGCAATTTGAATAGATTCCTCTTCCGAATTTTTAAAAACCGGGTATAAGTCACATAGTATAGAAACCAAAGAAGGACTTTGAAATGATCGGTGGAGACCATGATAATCCACACTCTTGTATTTCCAGTCACTATGTACAGGTGGGAAAGCTGGACGGTGAAGAAAGCAGACAGGGAAAAACATGGATTTGTTTGAAAGGTGGGGCTGGAGGAGAGCTTTGCTGATACGCTGGACAGCTAGAAAGATAATCCAGTGGGTCCTATAGCAAATCAAGCCTGAACTCTGTTAATTTCTTGTGATATAAATTTTGGCTCATTTAGACTGATAGGAGAAAAGTGGAGGGTGGCTGGAAAAGAAGGCCGAACGGGAGAGGGTTTGTTACTCTAAAAGGTTGGTGACGGGGACATGTTGCCGTATCAGAAGCCACTTGATGGCCTGTATAACCCCAGGTATCCTTGGACTACAGTTCCCAGAAGCCCTGGGCAGCACAACTGGGGGGTGAAGGCTTCTGGGAGTTGCAGTCTGAGAACCCACCTGGGGTTACCCAAAGTCGGAAAGCACTCTTCTAAGCTACGGATGATGTTTTTTTTGCAAATCTTAGGCGACCTGGAACTCTTGGAAACGGGATGATAAACTAGCTGGAACGTCCGTTAGCACAGAAAAAAGATCTTAAGAAGAACTGAGCTTCTATAGCATGCGGCTTGCTTCCTACAGCTGTCCGCAGCACTTATTTATTTAAAATATTTTTACCCTGCCTTTCTCCTTAAAATGCAGACACAAAAATAGGGGACGCCTTTATAGACCACTAAAAAGTCGTCACATTGAAAAGATCTTAAAGTGGCTTTGTGCATGGAATTAAGGAGGGAATTTGGGCTGTGAAATTCGCCAAATTCCTTTTGATGGACCACTTTCTCTGGTCTCCAAAAATATCCCAGCAAATCTACAGTAATGCTTTCCCCCCTCTAAAGCTCCTCGGTTGCATGCATGCAGTTTTTCCAAGGAACCACCATGCGGCCGTGCAGAAGTGAGGTGGTGTGGTCATCGGCTGTGAGTGACTCAAGGAAGAAAGTGGAAGTTGCGCTTGGGTGAGGAAATATGAGAACTTTAGATGCAGCCCTAACTCCAGCCATAGGGCTGAATCGAATGCTCCACTATGGGACTCCTTGGGGGTCAGAAAGCACTGTCCAGCAAACCCAGCACCAGTTTTCAAATCCTAATCCGTGCAAAAATGTTGAAACTGAAGCTGTCCTCCTTTGGGCACCTCATGAGAAGGCAGGATTCTCTGGAAAAGGCAAGGATGCAGGGAAAGGCGGAAGGCAGCAGCAGGAAAAGAGGACGATCCCCCATACGAGACGGACGGACTTGCTCAAGGAAGCCACAGGCGTGGGTTTGCAAGAGCAGAGCTGGGCCGTTGAGGACGGGACCTTTTCGGAGATGGCTCCTTCGTAGGACGGCAATGAGTCGGAGGCCACTTGACTACACAGAACAACAGCAAAACTCTTGGGTGTATTGAAAAAGAATTTTAAAATCTAAAAGGGGAAGAAGAAGAAAAGCCAATGGGAATTAAACAGGCAAAGAAAAAAAAATACTTGCATGCTAATTCATGTCCAGTCTTTTAATAATCCTTCAAGGTTTTCAAATAAATAGCAAAAAAAATCTGCAGTATTGCTTGAGTCCTGGCCAACAGCAGTGCCGGGTGATGAAAGAGGCCCCAATGTGAGAAACGTCCTGGGTGCTCAGCTCCCTTGGGGGGGCGGGGAATGGCCCGGATCCTTCCTCTTGTCACTTCCCTTCTTTCTCCGACCACTCCTTGTAGCCACCAGCAAAATTTCGAGCCCTAGAAAAGAAAAAAAACCCAAAGCAGAAGTGAGATTAACAGGCAGAATCAAGCGAAGAAGTTCTCAAATGCCAGTTAAAACCTACATTTTAAGAAAAACATTTAAAAGTCTGGAACATGTCTGCAGCTGTTGTTTATGGCAGAGGACAAACCAGATCAAGCCACTAATTATATGTATTTATAAAATTATTATACCCAGAGATGGAAACTTTTTATCTGCATCAACTGTTCTCCGACTTTTTTTGCCCTGGATAAGAAATTTAGCCACAACAAGCAATACTGCTGGCATTTTTTTGGGGGGGGGAAGATCTCCCATTTAAGTGGGTCCTTGATCACATTGAGACTGAACTCTCTCAAGAAGCTAATAGGACTAAAACGGAGGCACTTATTACTTGGGGCCCCTTAGGAAAAGACAAGAATAGCAGGAAAAGTCCAAAGCAGCAGGAACAGAGGAAGACCAGGAGTGAGATGGATCAAGATTCTAAAGGAAGCCATGCGTTTGAGGTTGCAAAGGTTGAGCAGGGCCATTCAGAACAAGGCCTTCCGGAGGTCGCTTACTCGTGGGTCCACCATTAGTCCAAGAGACCTAATGGCAAGAGTAAGGTAAAGGTTCCTCTTAACATTTAGTCCAGTCGTGTCCGACTCTAAGGCGCGGTGCTCATCCCCGTTTCCAAGCCGTAGAGCCAGCGTTTTTGTCCGAGGACAGTTTCCGTGGTCACGTGGCCAGCACGACTAGACACGGAACGCTGTTTACCTTCCCACCGAGATGGTACCTATTTATCTACTCGCATTTGCATGCTTTCGAACGGCTAGGTTGGCAGGAGCTGGGACAAGCGACGGGAGCTCCCTCCGTCGCGTGGATTCGATCTTACGACGGCTGGTCTTCCAACCTTGCAGCCCAGAAGCTTCTGCGGTTTAACCCACAGCGCCACAACGTCCCTAACAAGAGTAAATGACCCCAAAGCAAATCTGGGGACCAATGAGACATTTAATGCTTTAGCTGCACATCATCCTAGTTCCTCTAAGCCCAGGGTTTTACCCCAAGGCAGAAACCGGCTTACTTGGTGTAGCCAAGCGACGCGGCGAGCTCGGTCGCCCGGGCCCCTCGTCTGCCCATCTGACAATGGAAAACCAAATCCTCCTGATCCGGTTGCGGTTTCTCCACCCCGTACTTCGCCTTGAAGGTTTCCGGGTCCATCTTGAAAGCCTCTTCGACCTCCGCCACTGCAGGAAAGAGAAAGACCCAACAGAGAACTCGGTTTCTGCGCCCAGGAGGACCTCCAGGGAAGATCGCAGAACCCTAACCCGAAAAAGGACATTGACTGCAAAAAATAAAAAATGGATCCCCCCCCCTTGATTTGCCACTAAAAGTGAGAGTCACATCCTCCTCTCGCCCATCTCCGTCTCACCTGGGATATTGATGGAGTCCGGGATGCGTCCACCGGCGACTTCTTCCGCTGAGCGCACGTCGAACACGTGCGGCTTTCCTTGTTGCAGCAATTTTTTCAGCTCCTCGTAGGAAATGACCTTTGCTTTCAAAAGGAAAGAACAAGAAAAACTGGCTCACCCTTAAGTAACTTAACTCATTCTGACCCTCAGTGTCTTTCTTCAGGGAGAAGAGGCCATCCATGTTGGAGGAAAAGAGGGACAGAGACATAACGAATGCCATTATGCTTTGAATTGGAGACACGAGCTGCGTGTTTTGCTTTGATTTTTAAGGGAAAAAGGAATCAGTGGTGGAAGGGAGCCAGAGGTTGCAAGATTTAACCCCAAATTATGACATCATGCACACACAAACCCCAAAATTGTTCCCTTTTCCTTCTTAGCTTAGCTACCATTTGCAGAATAGCTGGAAATGGATTTTCCAGCACCAGTATATGGATGGCCACAATTTCTGTTAACCTGTGCGGTATCTGGAAGTGGTGGAGTCACAAAGGAGCAGTCAAGAGCCGTTGGCTTTACAAAAGACCCGCTCCTGGTAGAAACCAAAACTACTACATGTGGTTGTTGATAGGGCGCAACCTTGCCATGTGCCTTTTTCTGGGAAACGGTTATGGGCCGGGTCACGAAGAGCATCTCCATGTTCGAATGTATCAAGGCACAACAAGAAACGATAACAGCCACGGAAAGATGACGAAGAACGGAAAGATGACGAAGAACAGAGAATGAACGAGGAAATTATCCCAAAGGAAGTCCAGACGTGAGGTTAGCCACACCGCTAGACTGAAAGATGGTCACAGCCAGCTCTGATATTAAAACCTGACAGCATCTTCCAGCATCACGTTCAATGTTGAAAGGGGGGGGGTCTGGGTGCGAATCGCGTACAGCCCCATCATCCCAGCACCACTGGATTCAGCTCAACTATCATCTGGTCATCTCTTTATCAGAGCTACTACATGTGGTTGGTGATAGGTTCCTACTCAGCCGCTGCAAGGTCTGTCATTGCCCCCCCCCCCCGAAACCTTTGCCATCTCTGTTCTGAAAGGCCTCACCTCTCCTGATAGGAATTGCAATCCATATAAAGTTTTTGTTAAGGAGACAGGCGGGGATAAAAATATTTAAAATAAATACAATACTTCCCCACAGCCATCCTCCTTCAGGACAAAGGCAACATAAACGTTAAATAAATATTGATTCATTGATTACACTTGTATAACCCCCCCCTTTCCCCAGGAAGTGGGACTCAAATTTAAAAACAGAGAGACAGACAAATGTTGTAAGCCGCCCAGAGTCCTTTGGGTAGAGTGGGTGGCATATGAGATAAATAAATAAGTAAGTAGCTAAGTAGGTAAGTAAGTAAGTAAGTAAGTCAGTCAGTAAGTAAATAAATGCTGTGGATACTTTTATTTAAATGATCTCAGAGATTGTTGGAACCAGTGGTTGGGAGTTCGAATCCCACCCTGGTGCCTCCTTGACAGGGGCTGGACTGGATGATCTCTGGGTCCGCTTCCAGCCCGGCTGTTCTAAGATTATTATTATTATTACCCTCTACTTTTTGCATGAGCAGAAAACCTGCCTTTAAGAACAAAAATTATCTAAGTCGCCCAGCGTGTATGTCACAGGCTTCAAATCCACCCAGCGATAGGTTTTGGGGGCCTCGAGTCTGTCCTTCCATCCACTACACAACACTGAGTATCTATACGGCAACGAGGAGCCCATATTCAAGGAAGACAAATGTACAGATCCTTTTCAGTACACTTTGGGCTCACTCTCTTTTTTTTAGCAATTTCCCCAATTTCCACTTTCAGCATGTTTGGAATATGCCATGAATGATTTGTACAACAGATCCCTAGGGAGGACTGTCTGTTCTCTGCTCTTAAAAGTGACCGTTTGAGACCAAGGTAACCCAAGCTGCCCTCCCATTGCACCATACAGTTCAGATAAACTAAGCACATTTGATTTTTTTTTCTTTCATCTGTTTCTTTTATTTTTGGCTTAATTCTGAACTAATTTTTCATGGTTTCAAGCAGAGCATTGAAGCATCGATTCTTAGTTTGTCTTCTGGGATTTCACCAGACACTCCCTGCTTGCTTGCTTGCTTGCATTATCCCTACAAACTGAGCAGGAATTCCACTTTGTAAAGTTATGCTTTTATTTTAAATGATAGTATCATAAAGCTCAGTTCATTATTCTTCTGGAAATGGGGCATAAGTCAATATTTATGCACACGTTATTACCTGTAAAAGTTCTCACATTCAGATCCTAGTGCTGAGATTTCTGCTATCAGTATAGGGTTTATAACAACTGGGTAGAAGAACCCAGGTGTCCTTAGACTGCTGCTCCCAGAAGCCTCCATCACTAGCTGCGCTGGCTGTGGCTTCTGGGAGTTGCAGTCCAAAGACATCTGAGTAACAAAGGTTAAGAACCAGTGGTGTAAACTGCCTTGGGTCCTTTTTTCAAGAGAAAGGTGAAGTACAAATGTTTTAAATAAAAAAAATATATAGACCAATAACTAGAATTTATTAATCCATTTTTGTGATTTTTTTTTTATTTTTAAATAGTTTTAAGTGCTTGGTCATTTTTTTTAAAAAGGCATAGGTGCAGGGCCAGGGAAAGTATTTGACCACCTTCCTGGTAAACATAAGAAAGAACGGTGTTGATACGAGACTTGACAAAAGTTTATTAGAAAGGAAGGAAGGAAGGAAGGAAGGAAGGAAGGAAGGAAGGAAGGAAGGTAGGTAGGTTTAGGCAGATATTGGAAACACTGATTTTCTTTTGGACTACAAGTCCCAGAATCCACCACCACCCCACCCCTGCTAGGATGGCCGCTGGATGGACTAGCTGGAAATTCTGTGCATTGTAGTCCCTCCACAAAATTTAACTTCCCCAGATCTGCTCATTTTAGGTTGCCAACGTTTTAAATTACTCCGGCGCCTGCCTGTGCCCTTAAAACACCCTGCTGAAATGCATGGATTATTTTTTCTTGTTCTTTCCTGCCAAGTGCACACAAAAAGGGAGCTTTTGCTTTCAGGCTTGCGAGTTAAGTGCTTGCAAAGAAGGAAGGACGCGCCGTGGGAACACGGGTCAGGCTGCACGTGGGAAGGCGCGCGTCACCTGGGAGCAGAAAGGGAAAACTCCGCTTTTCAATGCTTTTTTGCCCTGAGACGGGAATTTCTCCACCGTCCCTGAGTCAAACCCCTCCTTCTCCCGGAACTTCAGAGCTAACCATCTTTGAGCTGGGAGGGAACTTAAAGAACATTTTGTCCTCTGTGATTGACCCCTGTCCTCCCCCCCCCGAAAAAAAAAGTTAATAAAAAAGCACTTCTGGGGATGTACATTTCAGAGTAGGAGTCAGGGAGGGGAGAAATCGCAGGTGTCAATGCCTAACTTCCCAAGGACGTTAGACTATGAGGAAGGATTGAAGATCCCTTCTCTCTGACATGCCATCATTTTTTTTTGCTTGCGATAAATAAGATCACCTATATTGGAATGCAGATAGAACTATTTCAAGCCACCGAGATGGAATGGCAAAATCCTAACAAGAATATGCCGACAAAGACGGAAAACAACCGTGATCCACAGACTGGAAACGTTCAATATATATATTCCAGTCCCAAGAAAGGAGATGCCAAGATATGGTCAATATAGGACCATTGTTTTAATTTCCCATGCAAGCAAAGGGAAGCATCTGATGGATGCCGAAAAGGAAGAGGCACTAGAGATCATATTGCAAATATCCACTGGCTACTGGAGAGAGTGCTAAAGAATTTTAGAAGATCAGTGTATGCTTTATAGATTGTGCCACTGCCTTGGATTGTGTGGATAAGGAGAAACTATGGGCTAGGAACTTAGGGAATAATATAGTTTCCCAAAGGCAAAGGTTTCAGACAAAGGTGGATTTGATCCCCTTATCTGTTTAATTTGTACACAGAACATATCGTATGGAAAGCTAGACTAAATTCAGATGAAGGAGGAATGAAAATGGATGGGGAAAATATCAGTCATTTAAGATATGTGGATGGTACCATCTACCTGGCAGAAATAAGCGATGAATTGAAACAACTTTTAGGGAGAGTCGAAGAAGAAAACGGAAAAGCAGGATTGCAGTTGAACGGTAAGAAGGCGAAACGCAGAGAAAATCAGAGGGAGGTTGACAATAAAGAAACGGCAGTAGTGAAAAGTGGTTGTATACTTTGATTTAATCATCAGTCCAAAGGCAGACGGCAGTCAAGAAATCAGATGGCTGGGACTTGGAAGGGCAGCCATGAAGGAATTCGAAAAAATCGTCCAGTGCAAGGAGGAGTCCCTGGAGAGACCAAGATCGTCCACACTCTTGCATTCCTGATCACTATGCAAGGATGAACATGGACAAAGAGACAAATGAAGGATT